TACATTCTATTCTATATACCTGGAACCTTATTAGTGAAAAAATAGTTATGTTAAACTCCACCTAAAGTACCTTGTGAGGGGTCAACCTAGGGGTTTTTCAGGGTTCTGAATCCATTGCAAGCATTTGATTTGCACAAAATCCACTCCTTGGTGGAAAAACAGCCACACCCACTTTTACATGTACATTTAAAAGCTTTATTTGTTGATTTCAATATCTCAAATACTGGTTGAAAACAATACTGCTCCACATTGTTAAAGGTATCAGGGGTCCAGGTCTGAGTGTTCTACAGACTCTACGTCAGTGGTTCCTAAAGCGGGGGTCAGGACCCCCTGGGTTTGTGAGACACTGAGAGGGGGGTCACGAGATGTCTTCTATAACTAACATTTTTAATCATTCAAAATTGCATGTTTTACCCATTTGTAAAAATCCAAACAAAAAAGGAGTTGAATTTAAAATACAACTATATTGGTTAAGTAAGATTTATGCTGAAATGGAAGTGATATGTACAAAAATCCTTTATATGTAAGATTGTCAATGTTACACTTACACTTTAATCCAAAGCAACCCACCTGTGTATCTGCTTATTTAAAGATCGCACTCACTTTTTATTTACCTTCACGTGGGGCGGCTGTTCAGCACTACTGTTTAAAATACCCCATGTGTGTTTTTGTTACTCCTTTTTTAAACTCCTTTGAATTAAACCAAATTAATCTTACAAACCACAACAGAAGTTTCCTGATTGGATTGATGCATCCTGACCTGATGCCTATGGTGATAGTTGCCCAACAAATTTGAACCCTTCCTAACAATGATGTAGATATATGCACAGTTTTTTGTGGGTCCCGAGCTGAAATGTTTGGAAACCTCTGCCCTACATCATCATACAGTTTTTGCATGTAAAACATTTATAACTTCTGCATGCGGAGATACATTCCACACCATTCTACAGTATCTCCATTACAATTACAGCATGTGAACCAGAGTGGCTTCTCATGCCTCCTCAATAGCATATTGATGATATCACTCAGGCTTTGTCCTTTAATATTTATAGTCTATAGTAATAACAACAAGAAGAAACATATAACCACAGGGATCCACAGTGAAATATACTAGTACACTCACACTGATAGATCACCACTAAGCTCTAACTTGTTAATATTTAGCAGTAACGTTTTCCAACTAGAATTTGAGATATTGAAACCAACATGTAAAGCTACTTGTCAATGTCCAAGTATAAGTGAGTGTGGGCATTTTTCCACCAAGGAGTGGATTTTGTGAAAAATAAATGCTTGCAATGGATTCAGAATCCTGAGAAACTCCTAGTTTGACCCCTTAAAAGCTACCTAAGGCAGAGGTTAACATCTTCATTTAAATATTTTTATATATGTTTTAAGACACCTTTATGAACACATTTGTGAAGAAATTTCTTGGTAAGGAATTTATTCCCAGATTGGCCAAATATCAAATTCACTCACTATAACAAAGCAACTTTTCATAAAACATTTTCATAATAATAATATAATACAATAATACAAAATTATTCAAAATGACATTGAAGTTAAGAATACTAAATTAAAAAATATTACTTCGTAATAGAATAGTATCATCCAAATGTACTTACCCAGAAAGATTGTGATAAAAAATGCTAAGAAAATAGTCTATTCCTTTGGCATTATTTTCAAACCTTTCAGTCTTCTTAATCTACCTTGGTGTAAAGTATATCTCTGCTGACGCTACCTGTCTATGCAGGCCTTATATATGTTGCTCAAAAGTTTAAAAAAAAAAAAAAAAAAAAAAAAAAAAATATTTGGACATGGGTCAATAAAAAGCAAATTCTGTGTAAAAGGCTTTTGATGAGTCACTAGACAATACAATGCAAGGTTCTTCATGCATTCCTCTAAAGTGGACTAACCAGATGGCCTTATCATATCTTATCATATGAAAACCTGAGATACTAAAAAAATAAAAAATATTTCCGTTTATTTTTGTAACGAACATGACTCTATTTAAGAGATAGCAAATGTCACTTAAAACAATTATATGGTTATATAACAACAAACATGTCAACTCCTGTGCCACCAGGCTCATCCCCATCATCTAGACTTGTGTCTCCAACCACTTCACCCTACTCTTTAACATCAATCTTTAAACCCGCAAAAGGAATGACAGATAATGTCACAGATACAAGTTCTCTTCAGCCCTTGCCCCTTTTTTCTGAGGATGCATCAACCACAAATCCCACCAAAGCCAAAACAGCACAGCACCAATTTGATCATACTTCTGGTCCCTTACTTGGAGAAAAAACTTTTTTTTTCCAATACAACCCAAAAGTGGCTGCTGTAAGGCCTCTTGTCTTTGATTATCCAATTGTTGTCCGGACCACATTCCTTGTTTCTCATAATATGGCAATTATATTAAGCCATATTTACAGATTAGAAGTACGAGAAGCAAATCTAGAAAGGGAGATACCATAATCAGGAAGCTGGTTTAGCAAGAGTGAGGCTTTGTCCTTGCAGTCTGTTTCCATTGATCCATGCATACCCACATTTTGGGATCTTAACTTCATAATTTATGGTAGTGGTCGACTGCATTAGCCCTGTCCTCTGATACAGCAAGCTTTTTATCAGGCTCAGAGAATTTGAGTGAGCGGATACTGAATTTACTGAATGGTAGACCTCTGGCTTTGTGGAGAGGCAGACCCATACCCAGTCTTCACAGACCTAGCATGGGTGATGGCCTACAGAGCAGATGTCAAAACCAAATTATCTTAGTGCCAGGACAACAAAATCCTTTTCACGGTGCTGGTTTCGCTCAACTGTTCGAGCAGGCGCCACATGTACAGAGATTATAGTTCTCAATAGATTGGTCACAAGTTTGACTCCCAGCCTCGACCCTCGACCTTTCACCTCCTCACATTTATTGTCTCACTTTATTAATATGGATGTGAACTTGCGTTTATACCAAAGGAACGAGTTACTAGCTGTTAACATCTTACAATGATGTTCCAATGAATATCAGAACACATCCCAAGATATATTTATTTTTCAGCTAGACAACTCACGTTTGAATTTGTTTTTAAATGTCCATTTCAGCTGCAGAGTATAGTTAGTCATAACATAGTTCAGCTGCGACCTCGTTTACTCCATGCAGATTATTTTACATGCAGAAATGTGAGGAATGATGATATAATCCTTTAAATGCCCCAGTTGGAGCCTACAGGTGGATGCCGGCAAAAGTGGTGGGGCTGAAAGCAAGAGCGCAGTACTGAAAAAGGTCAGACATAACAATGAAAGAGCAGAAGGAGAGACTGGAAATGTTGTGGCTTAAATAGTCTGTCAATTAGAAAGGATGTGCTGCCAGGCAACTGGGGATAGGGACGCATGTCAAGAGTGAAATCAAAGAAGCTCAGGTTGTCTGCCTGAACTAGCTCACAGACGTTGCCTAATTCATGTCTATTTACTATATGTTTGCAATAACAAACCTACACAGTCTTTGTAAATGTCTTGGATTGTTATTTTTTACCTAAAGAATATTCTATGTTCCTCCGTTTGCTCCTTGAGCCCTGACGGGTACTTGGGACTAAGAATTTTATCAGGATTTAACTGCCTGTGGTTTTCACTCTTTTACTTGTGACGTCAAAGAGGTTATCAAAGTTTAATTTTAGAAACTATAAACTCTCACACTAACAGAGCAGTGTTTAACTTTTCATGTTAATGGAAATTATTTTGACAGGGTGTTATTCGAAATTTCCAAACTAACTTTTAAATCAAAATTCCAAAATAAATAATGACTTTAACACATTTCATACTTTGATGTCCTGTCAGGAATGCCTTTACATTTTTCCATTTTCAAAGTCCATTGAGAGTCATGTGAGGAACATGTTATGAAAGATTACAAAGGTAACAACGTCACATCCAACTTTAGTACTAACCCAACCTGATAACCCTGATATTAACAGATAGTGACGTTGTTATCAGTTGAGTGGTATTTGCTTGAACATGCACAAACTTGCTGTTACTCTAACAAAACTTCTGAAAGAATTTCACAAAGCCAACATCTAATCGGCCCCAGGACAATAAAATCTAAACGACATCTGGGTCAGTGTCATTGTATATTTAATTATAAGGCAGTAAATTTACACTTTAACACAATCTGTACAGTCATATGGGGAAAAAAGATAATTAAAGGCAATATTTATTTATTATATTACACTGTTTCCTTTTAAAATTGATCCACTGCACCACAAATTTAGTGGCAGAAATCTGCTGTACAAATCTAAAGCCAAGCTTCCACACTCATGCTAATACTTGACCTGTCTACTAGTTCAAAAGAAAGTGACAAAACATGATACTGCACAGATTTAAATGGATATTTTATTGAAGGTGGTAATGGTTTCAGATTATTAAAATAAGAATAATTTTACAGACACTATAAATAGGAGTTCATTCTACAGATAAGATCTGTAAAGATCTACAAACTACAGAAAGACCCAGGAAAAGGCATTCCTCTGCCAAGTAAAGGACATCTTTATTAGTTTAGGTACAGGGAGAACAGAGAGAATAAAATGCATGGCATAACTTTATTTAAATGTTTTATTTTGTCTGATAAGAAATCTGATTGGTCCCCAACATATCATAGCAACAAAAAAAAGTAAAATAATTACACCTGTAAAAAAGGCCTTATAATTCTTATCATTGTTATCAGCATGTTTTTAATAGTATGTTTTTTAAGGTAGGTTATGAAGATTATCTTTGAAAAGGACACAGGAAAAATTAAGTAATGGGGCTGTAGCTGGCCTAATCACCACAAACGTGTGAATCATCGCCTGGTTTACTTTAACATTCTTTGTTTTAGCCATCCATGACATTGGTTGATGAATGACACATCTATTTGTTGCTGCAGACATTTCCGAGCTAAAGTTTATCTGCTGCACATAAGAAATGGACAGCAGAGAAAAAAGAAGAAAAAAAAAAGAATATTCATTTAGAATAGCCTCAGCATTATCATCAACATGACATACTTACTTTTGGATGATAACTCAATAAGGTAGGAACAGTCACTTGAATCTTACTTAAGAAAGCAGAGCAGTCCATCTTTGTCAACACACATTTGACTTCAGCATACTTTGAATAAACCTGTGAAGTATCAAGCTAAAGGTACTTGTAGATGATTATTGCCAAGACTGAAGGCAATAATTCCCTTGCTACTGCTCAGAATTCACGCTGACAATGTTGGTATCTGTGAAATTTGAAAAAGAAAAATAATTTACTGCATTGAAGAGCGTCACACTAAAACATCAACCGGTCAATATAGCCTGTATCTGTTAGTCCAAAAATCCAATCAAAGTTCAAAACCGGGTAAGCAAACACGAGGAAAATAAGGCTGGAATGCATGAAACACTAAGGAGACAATGACATTCTGTCAGAGGGCTCGTGAAAACACAGGTGTATAAAAACAGGTGTAATGAGAAAAGGCGGGAAACAGAACAATGGCAGGAAGTCAGACTAGAAAAATTACTCTAACAGCAGATAAAAAAATCTAACAGGAAGATTTATTATTAACATAAGACACAAGAAAACTAAATCGGGGACTGACAGAATATCACAATATCTGTTCAGGCAATATATATAAGGTTTATAAGCATGCTAAAATACAAGATAGGAGTGGATTTTGGGCTATTTTGCTACTATTAACCATTTCTAGCCTCTGTTTGAGAAAGGTCATTAACTGGAAAACAGTAGCCTACACTGGCTGGAGTATGGAAGTGATTAGTAATCAAAATTCAAATGATAAAGCTATTAATAATGCACCTATAATCTGAAAGTTAAAACGTGTTTCTGTTACTGTATTTTCATTTTAAAATTAGCTTTTTCATTTGAATTATGATACAGATGTAGCGGGGCATTTTTTGAAAATGATAAAGCAAATGTAATTTTCTTCCTCATTTTAATTTAGTCAAAGAATGTGCATTTTTAAAGTTGAAAACTAAAATTCAAATTAGATAAATTAATCATCATTTTATTTTTGAGTCAAGTAATACACTCATTCTGAAAATTAAAAAGCATTTCTGTTAATGCATTTGAATTTTCAAAATTAGCTTTATCATTTGAATTTTGATCACTAATCGCTTCCATACTGGAGTAGGGCTTGAAGCTCTAAGGGTAAAGCTAGTAATGCAAAACCATTCATTTTTTAACATTGTACACTGTACCTCACTTGTGTTGTCCTGGTCTGGTTACTCTTCATTGAAGGCATCAGAAACAGGGAATGTGGTCCGGATAACAATTGGATAATCAAAGACAAGAGGCCTTACAGCAGCCACTTTTGGGTTGTATTGGGAAAAAAAGTTTTTTCTCCAAGTAAGGGACCAGAAGTATGATCAAATTGGTGCTGTGCTGTTTTGGCTTTGGTGGGATTTGTGGTTGATGCATCCTCAGAAAAAAGGGGCAAGGGCTGAAGAGAACTTGTATCTGTGACATTATCTGTCATTCCTTTTGCGGGTTTAAAGATTGATGTTAAAGAGTAGGGTGAAGTGGTTGGAGACACAAGTCTAGATGATGGGGATGAGCCTGGTGGCACAGGAGTTGACATGTTTGTTGGCGTATCTTTCATTAAGCTGTAAGCTGTGGTGGGTTTCTGGGCTGTGAATTTTGTTCCTTTTGATGTGGTAGTAAGTTTGGCTGTTGTTGAGACAAATTCTGTAGCATGAATTGGTACATTTTTTTCTTCTTTAAAAGTTGTACTTTGAATTGGAGTTGTATGGATTGTCTTTGATACACTTGGCGTGTCAGATGGTGTAGTTTCTGGAATTGTTGCTGCTGCAGTTATAGTTTGTGTTGATCCTATTCCTGGTTTCTTTGTTGGTGAAAATAGCTCTGTTGGTGCTGCTGTGGCACTTGATTCCAGAGATCCTTTTATTTCTGTTGTTAAATTGTTTACTGTTGGTTTAGAGTCTAGTCCACTGTTTGTTGGTGTTAAGCTTTTAACTCTTGCAGTTTGTGCATTTGTGGCTGTGGGCAGTGTTGTTAAAAATGATGCTGACTTAAGTGTTGGTGAATCTGTGACACGTGCTATACTTTGTGTTTGAGATGTTAATTGTGTGTTTTCAATTACTGTTGTTCCTCTTACTGCTGTTTGCCCATCAGAAGTTTGTTGCTTTGTTGGGGCAGACAGCATACTTTGTGTTGATGTTGTTGCAGAGTTTATCATTGGTGGAAAAGACTGTATTGATACCATTGTGGAGACACTGTTTGGTGTAAACACTATGTTTGTGTTTGGTGAAGTTAATGTTGGTGTAACTATCGATTTACTTTGAGTTGGTGTTGAGCTGTAACTTGCTGTTGATTCCTGTTTGGCAGTTGTGAGGTGTTCTGTTGCTGATGACGATGATGAAGATGATGATGATGATGGCCTTGCTAATGCAGATGTCCCCTTTTTTGTTGATGTTGCTGCTGATTCCATTGTAGGTGGAAAGGATTGTGCAGGTTTGGTTTCAGACACATCTTGTGTTCTTAATACTGTTGCCGTAGATGGTGTGGTTTGTGTTGATGTACTTTCTGATCCACTCAGGGATGGTGTTATGCTGTGAACTGTTGTGAATCCTGCACTTTGTTTTGTGGTTGTGGGTGGTACCATGGTTGATGAAGATTGTGTTATAACTGATTCTGTCATTTGTACATGTGAGGATACATTTGTCACATGTGCTGATCTGTTTTCTGATGTTTCATCTATTGTTGTTTGTGGCAGTGTTGGAACAAATAAATTAGTTTGTGTTGAAGTCGTTTGTAATGGGGTTGTAGTTGAATGTAGTGCTAATGAAAAATCTTCATCTTGTTTATTAGTAGTAGACATAAGTGTTGTTGCTTCTGACATGGTTTCTTCAGTTTTTGTCAATCTTGGAAAATATGTTGGCGATACATGGGTGTTGGTTGATGTTTTATTTGGTGCTTCTTCTTTTACAGAAGATACTGTTTGTAGTGGAGCTGTTGTCATGTGTTCGGTCGATGTTATGGATGATAAAGTTGCAGATTCTGAGGGTTGATTGAGCATTGTTGGGGATGATGTCGTCATGGACACTAAATATTTCTCTAAAGGCACTGTTGAGGATTCTATGTCCTGTTTTTGAAGAGTTGTTGACTCTCTGCTAAATGGTGTGCTGTCTTTTGGCATTGCATTGCTACTTATCCCCACATTGGTTGCTGTTTGCCCTGTAAATAGTGATGTTTTACTTGTGGGTTGTGTTTCAACAGGTGTTTTACCAAATATAGTCTGTAACGCAGTTTCCACAGATGGTGAAGTTTTTGTTGATGTTAGTGTTGTTAAAGGTGGTTTAGACTGAGTTTGGATTGTTATGGATATTGACATTGTAGTTTGCGTTGGAATTGATGATGGTCCACTAAATGTTGGTTCTGTGCTGTGATCAGTTTTTGATCCAGAAGTTGTCACCTGTTCAGCTATTGACATTTGTAATGTGACTGATTCTGTTGAAGCAAATGCAGGTGATTTAGTTCGTGTTGGTGTGATATTTAATGGTGTTGTGGTTGATTCTGCTGCTACAGTCATCTCAATGTTTGCTGTGATGGACAGGGTTGGTTGTGCTGAGAGTTGTTTCTGTGCAGATGAGGAAATGTTTGTATGAACAGATTTGTCAGCAGATAGTGTTGTTGGTGCTGCAGATATTGGAGTAGACATTTTGGTCAGTGATACCATATTTTGTATTGGCGAGGTGTGGAGTTCTGAAACCATAAGTGTTGTTCTTTTTGTTGTTTCAGAACTTTTAGGTTCTGTCAATGGTTTGGTGGTTGCCTTCTCTACAGATGTAGTTTCTGTTGCTGTTGTACTTGATAATGTTGCAGATATAGTTGTTACAAAGGGTGTGCCTTGATTTGGAGCAGCGATTACATACATTGTAGACAAAATATTACCATTTGCTCCTGGAGTTACTTCTGAATTTGCTAATGCAGAATTGTGTGTTGTTTGTTTCTTAGTGGTTTTGATATATTCTGAATTCTGACCTTCAGTGACATTAACTTCATCTCCAGGGGAAGGCATATGTTCTGAAGCTGTTGTGTTGTTTGTTACTAAGGAAGTTGTTTGTAGAGTTGTTCTGTGGTTTGAGGTGGAAGTTGTTTGTGCCTTGCCTGTGCTTGTTGTTTTCTTTTGCATAGAGGTCATTTCAGTCACTTTTTCAGGTGGTATACTTACTGAATTCATCTCTTCAAATATTACTGTGGTGAGGTTGAAAGCTATAGTGCTAGTTTTGTTGGAGATCAAATTTGGCTCTTCTGTCTGTGTTGCGTCTGGAGTTTGGAGTACAGGAGTGCTTCCTGAAAAAGCAGCAGCTTGTGAAGCATCTGGAATGTTGGTTGGTGTGTTTTGATCTGTGATCTCTGAGAGCTTAGGTGTGGTTTGCATGTCAGTTGCAAATATGTTTGTGGGTGAGTCCACAGTATGGCTATTTTCCAGGGTTGATGATGTGGTAGTTTCGTCAACTGATGGTGAAGAGATATCACTTGACACTACTGTAACTATCACAGTTGAATTTGGTACAGGTGAACTAAATTCTTGAATTGTCAGCTGATGGCTGGACTGAGCTGCAGTTGAGGTTGAAAGACTTTGTTTTGAGTCAATGAGAATCTGTGTTGCTGTCACTGTCTCTGCTGAAGAATTCACCTGTTCTGAAGCATTATGCACCACTGTCGAAGTGCCAGGCTCAAGAAAAGATGATTGTTCATTGTTAACCATTGGAGAAGTGTATGTTGACTTTTGATTGACTGAGTTGTAGAAATTTGACTGATCTCTGGCACTGTAGTGGTCAATTCATTTGCTGTACTGATTCCAGGAACCTCAGTAGAGGCTGTGACCCCAAAGTGAGGTAGGCAGGCAGCTGTAATAAAGGGAAAGAAGACATTTTCATGAACACTAATTGTTCACAACAGGCTTTACGTAATAAAAATAGCAGTGTTAAAGAGTACTGATCATTTGACATATATTGCTAAAAATGTATTTAATGTTTAAATAAGACGGGAAATGGTAAATGGACTTGAGTGTATTTCTAGTTTTTGTCTGACTACTCAAAGCCCCCCACCACAGGTCACACAAACTCATTCATGTAAATATTCCATCAGTATTAACTAATCCATTCATACACATTTATACCCCGCCGACAAAGCAGCAGGAACAACTTACTGTGTCTTGCCCAAGGACACATCAACCGACACTACCACTGAGACACAGCCGCCCAGAAGCCCATGCGGTCATCCATCTATATATTTGATATATCTTTGTTTTCCCATGATAAAAAGTAAATTTAGATTGTTTTCTCGAGTTCTCAACTAACTTTATCTCGTTATCTTGGAATAACAACACTGGTTTAGCATTTATAACTTTATTTCTCGTGTTTTCTCAAGAGCTCAAGAAATTAACAAATTATCAAAGTAATTACCAGCTTTTTTACAAAGAGAAAATGACATAAATAAGTTGAGAATCTTTGGAAAACCATAGAAATGTACTCATTATCATGAGAAAACAGAGTAAAATCAAATGTCTGGATTTTCAGTATGTCCACCTCGGTCTTCCATTAAATAGAAAAAGCTATATATCTAATATTAGCAAGTGATTGTAGAAGTTAGAAAGGCTCCTCTAATGCTTTAAGGTGTCTGTTAGATGCTACCCTGGAAATCCCATCCAGAGGTCTGAAACTGTTTCAACAGACGTCTCTTATTTTTTTTCTGTGCACAAAGACTCCAGTAACATCAGTGTTCTTGACACAAATAATTTGAAGAATTAAAATTCTGTTTGACAGAAGGTTACAATTAACAAGGCGATCTATACCCTAAATCATTCCTGGAATTGTATCTGGACTTTGTAGAAGCTGGTTTACGACATTGGATGGGCTATGAAAAGTAACATCATGGAACAATGACGCAGTGTAACCTTACTCACCTGCCAGTAGGCTCAGGAAAATTCCACAGTTCATGGTGGCAAATGATTGCTATTCAGAAGTAGAGAGCATATCTGATAACAAAGGAAAGACAGAAAGGGACAATTTCAGTCCCTTTTCAGTCCCTTTTTTATTTGTCTAGCTATTACTTGTAGAGGAAACCTGATGTACTAGCATTCTCACACATGTTGCATACAAACTGTGACTGTATGCTACAAGTGATTTCGTCTGCGCACTATTTTGACAAAGTTTGAAAAATCCTGAGATGATGCGTTGAAGATAACATTGGTATGCATTCCTTTCCATGGCAAATGTATTCTTTAAATATTTAAGAGTATGTAAACAGGCAAGGCAGGCAACTGCTTGGGGCCGCAAACCAGTAGGGGGCCCCTGAGGGCTCACAACCTTAAACCAAATCAGGGACCCAAAATTTGAATTTTTTGCAAGGACAGTAGGAAACCTCCCTTAGGAGGCACCATCTGACAGCACTCACTCTCTTTGCATGCTAACCGTTGCATGCATTATTGCTGTGAAAACCAAAGTTTGACAATGAAGTCAACCAATAAAAATGAAGAGGAATTATGGGTCTATAGAAGAGAAATAAGAAAGAGGAAAAAAGAAAAAAGAGGAAGAGGCGTAAAGGGACACTGCAGACTTGATGGTGATGAACACTGGTTGGAGCCCCCCCCAATTGATTTTTGCTTATATGGTCCAAAAAGACTCAAGAATCGCCACTGCCTTAGACCAAATGTTTCCCCCTAATCTACCTGCTTACACTCCCAAGATACGCTCATTTAAACCCATAGAAACCCAAGTCGGCTCTGTCAGCCCCTGAGCAGCAGTACTGAAGCACATTTATGCAAAGGCATATTTAATGACAGTGGACATTATCAGTGTGAAACCAAGTTTTGTTTTACAGTTGAGAAAGACTGTAGTTTTGCCCTTAATGTTTATATAAATTAACACTTCCTCTTGTGTTGTATTTGATTTGACCCTGGAGAGAAACATGTCTAGCCAAGTGCAGGGATCTGACAGGTGGAGTGATGATTCACACTTCCTTGATCTCATATTTGAGTGTCACTGTCTGTGACTCAGATAGCATCAAAAAATCTAATTCTTACTGCTACAAAAATCAGCAAATAATTTCTGTCAATGACAACATTAACATTTTACAGTAAGGTTAGAGGTCTTTTACACTGACTGTCAGTTGTTTTTCTTTGAAATCAAAACATATTTCCCAGCCAATCACAGACTTGTAAGGACATAGTTCAACACCACCTGAGTATCAGAATTTCATTACCACTCAGTTATTACTCATCTACAAAAAACATTTACTTTCCAACAATGAGGCTTTATAATGTAGTAGAAAAAGAATAATTCTTGTGTTATTGAATAATGATGTTATATAACCTTTTAAATCAATCAGGTGGATAATGATAATATGTAATTCAACTTGAAAAAAAAAACATGGCAGACATAAGTTGATAACTAATTCAGTTAGTTTCAGACATTAATGACCCCTAGGACAACCTAACGGCATTTCATTATCTAAAATAGTTCCAAAAAATAATATTATACAAAAGGTCATTTTGATATTTTTTTTTTGTGTAGCAAGTATGAAATGCACCTTTAATTCAAGAACATTACTTTTAAAATAATGCTGACTGGCCTGAAAAAAAAACAAAGAACAATGTGTGTCGTTGTTGAGGAACCTCACCTTACCATTCTGTTGTTAGTAACTTTTTAACATCCTGTTGTGGCACAGAGCTGGCTCGCAACTTTAAAAAAACAGGCGTATCACATTTGTGCCTTTATGGCTCCGACTTTGTAGTCTGACTCGTAAAATATCTGCAGAATGTGTTTGGGGTCAGGGTGCAGGGCATTGCTGTGTGTCCAGCGTGTATACAGTGTTGTGTTTACACATACTCACACATGCACAAGCTGCAAAGATAACCTTTTTTTCATGTTTAATTACATTAGGATTTAAATAATTTACTATGCTGCTAAGTTTCATTGAGCTGCATTTATCAACTTTTCTCAAGGAGTGTTCAAACTTGACAGACCAGAACAGTTACATATTTTTGACTGATGGGTAACTTGATATGTTCAGTATGTCCAATGGATAATACAAAAGACAATTGGGTACATGACTTTGTAGCCGTTATCAGCAGCCACGTTTTACAACCTCTCTTTCTGCAGGACTCAGGACTGTGAATTAACATGTTGTTTACTTTTACCAAGGAACAAAGGAACTGATCAATGATTTAAGTCTCCCTCTCAGACAGGATATTATGAACTTTTACAACACCTTGAATAAACAACCGAGTGGAAACAGAACACTCTGCTATCTACGAATTGACCCCAAAGACATGAACTGTGACCGAAACCAGTCTCTGTAAAGTCATAAAATTGACCATCTGTTGAAGGACTGCTGAAGAGCTGAATTAAACCACAGCATTCAATTCTGCATCAAATGAACATTTATGTCTTTCTTCATCTAGATATTTGTAATTGTCACATTATAGTCATCTTTTTAAACTCAAAATCTGATCTTCAGAATAGGAATAAGAGTTATGTTATGTTTAATAGGAATTTGACGTCGAGCGCTATTGCCATTTAGTGTTAGAATATCCATGAATACATAACCTTCATAATTATAGATTTAGCTTCAGCTCTTGTTCACTTCTCTTCGGACTTCGGTCTGAATCACTTCTTTTAAGTTTGTGCCGTAGAGACGAGTCTCTGCCGAACTTTCTTTTTCACACACAATTCTTGGAAACATCAATTCTTTCTGGCTCAAGCAAGGTTTTTGAACTTTCTCCTCTAAAGTCTTTGCTCTTCAATTTTGAACGCCAATTCTTTAGTTTGGATTCATTGAGATGGCCATCCGGTTAATCTGAATTGGAAATCGACATATCAAGACTCTTAAACAATTTTTTCCTGTTGGATCCTCTTGGAGCTTCTGAGACGACAGCTTTAACCAACGTACAATCTCCATCCCAGCTGCATACTCCGACCAAGGTGTCAAGGCATCTAATCTGGCCCGTGGACCTCTCTGGGCTTAAAAAGAACCACTTGCCAGAGATACTGAAACGCGGGACCAGCCGGAGGAGTTCAATTGAACACATCTCACAGTAAGACTGCTGGTGGCAAGGGGTGTTGGAAGATGAAGTCTTGAGTCGTGTCTATTCAGAGCCCTCCTTTAAATCCAAATAGAATCCCAACTTTCTTTTATCAACTTTTTTCCATTTTGACCATTTTCTGATTAAGTCATTCAAACAATACCGCGTCTTATCTCATTACTAAATATATAATGTCACCATACATTATATTTGCATTATCCTGATCATAATAATCATATTCTTTATCTATTTCATCTATACATTATTGTTTACCCCTTTTTATATTAAATTTTACACATAAAATTCAGGACTTTGTCTGTGTGTTTTCTTGTTTAACATTTCCAGAACTTACTTCTTTCAAGATATGAAACTGACTGATTAATTAATTAACTTAAACCATTAAAGTTATTTTCTTCCTTTAACAGGAAGTGGTGCCCCCTCCCCTTTTTAATCTGAGGTTAAAGACATAACATCTTAATAACTTAATTACGCTACAACTTGATACATTACTCAGGCGTGAGGAACTATCAGCATTTTCCCATCATATCTAATCATGTCAGCTATTTTGGCTGTTTTACTCTAATTGTCATTTTACTTACGTATATATCAAAAATGCTTACGATATAAGTGCCTGGTATGGTTTTTTTTTTTCAGCACAACCTCACCTTTATGATCTGACCATTTATTAGTCCCCTAGAGATACTGTATCAACACACAGGACCCAAACACACGCATAAAATAGAGAATTCGTTAATCATTCTTCATCATTCTTCAGTCATTATATTAGGCTATATATTATGTTGTTGTTGTCATTTGAGTTCTTACGCTTTGTTGTTATGTTTGCATGTATCAAAGCACTATAAACCATTGTTTTGTTTTTAAGTGCTATACAAATACAATAATTGTTCATTATTATTGTATGAGTAAAGAGGAGAACATTTAATTGAATCTGTCATTTTAATTCTTGGTAAACTTTTTTTCAGAAATCAGTCAAACATAGTTCTCAGTCTTTTCACATGTTTAAAGCTATCTTCTTGCAACATATTTAGCGTGCTTGGAGACATATTGCTGATTTTACTTTACAGGGACTTTAACTGAATTTAAAGAATTGTAGACCTAACTCAGGTGACCCTCCTTCACATCCCAACACTCCTTCTTTTGACAATAACGTCATGGCTTCACACTTTAGAGGATAAAAACAAGCATAGTGATGCCTCAAGTCTGTCAGATTTTAAGCCAGTTTGAATTCTAACAAAGGTTTTATTACACTTTGGTCCTATTATTATTTACTATTTTTAAATCCACTGGATGTTTTCCCTCCTTCTGTAGAGGTGGCCTGGACTATGTTGGTTAAAAAATATCGATGAACAATTTGTAAACCACCATGTTTACTTAAATGTGTCTTCTTTATGATTACCTATGGCTATTTTATCACTCTGTCTCATTCCATTGCTTTGTAAAATATTCTAATTCAAGAATTTAACAAGACCTTCTAGGTAGTCATGACAACTCTCTGTAGGCCCCTGACCTGTGTCCCAAAGACCCTTGTTCTGTGTGATTGCATGCTATGCATATAACATACTGGTTAATGTCCCAACAACCTAATTGTCATCTTTCATCCTATGTCAACAATGAAGTGCTCCAAGTCACAAAACCTTCTCAAGCTTAATGAGTCATCCTTTATTTCAGAAACAACTTGGGTCTTCAAACTTCAATAATATGTTTTTCAATCAAGAAGCATTTTAAATACCAGTTATTTTCTCCTAACCTTGAGTAGCCATCCATGTTTTTTAAAATCTCAGTTTTATTAATGAAATTAATTTAAGGATGTAGCAATGAAGGATCAGGTTTTATTTGCAGACTGGGGGGGGGGGGTACCAAAAGATTATTATGCATTGTGTATACAGAGATATGCAAATGTTCTTGAAACATTTAAAGAGTTGTACAAGTAACGTTTTAGATGTATTAATCAAATAGCTGTGTAATTTATATTCGAACTACCTTTCCCACAACCAACCTAGTCAAGTATGGAAACTCGCGAGTCCAAACATAATACATTCGCCTAACCACGCACCTTCGCTGTTGTTGTTCTTAAAGGAGACGCATCCCTAACAGGCCTAGTCCAAGCCAACGAAATACGAGGCTTGCTATAGCTTTAAGAAGAAAATATTTGGTGAATGTTTGTAAATATTACATTTATCATATTCCGTAACATTTTTAACTCATAATTTAGTAATAAAATGCCTGCTTGGTGAAATTTACCGAGTCAACAAAACTTGCCTCCGTCGGGGCCATCGACGTTTCGTTGGTGTTAATCTTTCCATGTTGATAACTTAACTATTTACAAAAGTATTAAAGGACCGCAGCAGTTCCATAACAACTAATTCATAGGAGGACGAGGTTTGCGGTGTTTTCTAAAAGAGTAAAGAAAGGAGCTTAAATGCAGGCCGCAGATGCATCCGCGGACTCGACTGAGCAGTCCAGCGGGAGAGGAGGAAGTAGAAAGCGCGTTAAAGCTGCAGTGACCCCCCCGGACGGCGTTGACTGTTTAACTGGTACTGTGCGTGTGTTGCGAGCCAGAGGAGCTGTATCTGACTGTCATGAGTCAAAGAAACCCTCAACCAAGAACAAGTCTCTGTGTCTTCATCGTGGACTAAGAAGACCGACTGGATCTAAAAATGCACCTGCAATGAAGTAAGTGCGCGAACAAAAGGCACATCCACTACTTTAGCTGTGGTCTGCTACTGCGAGAGGATAGCTGCATCGTTTGAAAGAGGCTTGTTTGCGAGTAATTTGCAAGAAGTCTTGTGCCTGTCGGACTCAGGTTTCTTAAAGCTATACGTGGGTTACCCGAGATAATTGAAACCCCCAAGAATTAGTTGAATGTAGCTGTTGTTCTCCTGTCATAGTCAAAGGAGTCTAAGCACACTGTGCATTGTTTTGTTATACTACAGATATATTTCAACATGCACCTTGCTGTCATTTACTCTCTCTCCCCTCCTGCAGACCCTTAAAGGAATCCCCAGCTGTAAAAGGTACAAAGACACACATTAGAGTGACTTTCATCTTTGAGCAGGGATTTTTTTCCCCTTTGATTTTATTAAAACATTCACACTTCGACTTTCTTAGTATCCAAAAACAGTCTGGGGACTAAGCCGGACAAGTCTATAAAGGGCAAAGGGAGACCTCCACGCAGAGCTTCTCGCACCTCACTAGCAACAGCATGCAAGCCAGAAGCAGAGGCTGAGGCTTCATCAAGTGGTAAAAGAAAAGACCAATTCCAATTGTCTTGATACAGTCTCTACCATTGTCAATATAAATATAAAATAAGACATACAACTATACAATGATTATTTAAACTGAAATGACATTGTGTTTGTTTTTCAGGAGAGGAAACAGGTGCCTCTGAAGAAAACAATAACACGTGAGAAGAATTCAACTTATTAAATTGTGTTAGTTTGTTTTTGAATGTTCAGTTTTACAATTTGAATTCCATAGGGGCCCATATGATGTCGATGTCCACGACAGTATTTCGGATCCAGATGCTGCCCTCGATGAGGACCCTCCATTCAGGGATGACCCCAATGACCTCATCTGTCCACCCGAGACAAACATGTAAGATGCACTGCCTTTCCGCAATTGGTGTTAGTCATACTTTACAGAAAAACCTCTCAAACGACTGATGTTAAAATGTTGGCTTCAATGTAAATGATGCTTAATTGTCAAACTCCTCAGTGAACAATCGGAGCGGCGTGCAACGTTGCAAAAGGAGGTCAAGAAAGAGGAGTCGGATACGGAGGAAGAAGGCATAAAAAAAGAAGAATTGACTGAGATTGGCGAGCAAAGTGATGATGGAGCAGGCGATGCCACTGAGACACCCAGGAAGTAAGAAAAGTTTGGATTCAACATTAGTAATGTGCAAAAGGACTGAACACTAACGATGATAACAATGGGTGTTTTTCATTTTTCACTGAAGCGTGGAACACAAACCTGTTTTATTAAAGCACAGGGAACATACCAAAGGGTTTCCTTAGTGCACAATAAAGCAAGTAAACAACACAGATACAACACCAGGTCTGCTTATGAAATACAACCAGTTGTTTTTTTTTCAGTTTTTAAGACAGAAAATATGATGTTATTGTAAATTCTGACTAAACTACACAAGACCCACATTCATGAGCCTCACACTGGTACAACAGCACCTCCTTGTCATAATGACAATCTCAGTAAGATTGTTTTTTTTTTTTCTTCAAATTAAAGCCCAGACATCATTGCTGGAGAAAAACATGTCCTTTCAGATTCTCTTTGCAATCATTTTGAACACATTTAAAACTATATGATGTAGTGAGAACAAGAAGGCTTGTCCAACTTGATTTGTATTCAATCTTCTTATGCAACAACAAAATTTATTCAGTGAAACTAACGCACACAATACACGTACAAGGCACCACCCAAGACTGTGTCCAAAAAACCTTTTGTTGATGTTGCCAAAGTAAACTCTCAGGCTAGCTTCACAGCTACATACATGACATAAGCTCAACCACAATGTTGAAAAAATGCTGACCTGCCAGATGGATAGCCTCAGTCTGAGTCACCAGTCCTCAATTTTTACAGTGGATAACAATGATCATGTGTTTATATAACTATTGTGGATACAAGTAATTATACTCTTGTAATTAAATCAGAGCAACCCATTTTAATTAAATAGAGATTGTGCCATGCAAAAAGATGAAGATTCCTGATATAAACATGTCGATGTTTGGTCAAGAGGATGAAAGGAGTTGGTATGCAGGGCTTAAACCCATGTGATGTGTTTTGTGTTGTGAGGGTCCCGCCCCTACAATTAAGGAATCTGTTTTTTTTTATTTTAGGAGGGGGAGAAAACAAAAAGATGACAAAGCCTCCCGGCCACCAAAACGGAGGTAACAGTCTTCGTTGCGTTATTGTGGCACGTGAGGTGCACCAACTGGACGACTAATATTCAACTTTTGTTAACTTGGTAGGAAAAAGCCCCCAGTGCAGTATGTCCGCTGTGAAATAGAGGGCTGTGGGACGGTCCTCGCACACCCACGTTACTTACAGGTTGGTGTTCTTTTTTAAATTTAGCCACAGGAACCACCAAATACTCTTGTCAAATTTGGCACAATGCAATAGCAACTATTTATGCCAAAGAAACAGCGATTGTGTTGACTGTAATATTCAGAAAACAGTGTTAATGTTTAATTAATTAAAGCTCCTGTATGGAGTTTCTAACTGCTGTGACATAGACTGAAATGAGTACTGTACAAGAAGAGGTAAGCGAAGAGATAGGATATACATTTTGTCCACAGGGGACGCCAAACATGACATGATGAAAAAGATCTTCACAGGAACTTTAAGTTGAACCTTTAAATGACACCGACTCACCCTTTTTCTCTTGTTTTATTTTTTTATTTTTTATTTCAGCACCATATAAAATACCAGCACCTGCTAAAAAAGAAGTACATGTGTGATCATCCCTCGTGCGGACGCTTGTTTCGTCTCCAGAAGCAGCTGCTGCGCCATGCCAAACACCACACAGGTGAAGTGAGGGTCATACACTGTTTAGTCTGTAACAGGCCACGTCTGCCTGAGCTGCTTGAAATGCCTTTTAGGAGATAACAAATCAACAAGAGATTGTCATTTCAACCTGTCATTTCCTCTTTCTGTTCTTATCTACTGTTGGGTAAAAAGAACACAATCTGATTGTTGTTTGTCTCTTAGATCAGAGGGACTACATCTGTGAGTTTTGTGCTCGAGCCTTCAAGAGTTCCCACAACCTGGCTGTGCACAGAATGATCCACACAGGGGAGAAGCCGATACAGTGAGTAGGGTGAACATGTGTCATGCACGCCCCGACATGTGCTGCGTACGAGGAGGCAGATTAAAAATAGACATGACGTGATCGTCATCAGCATGATTTCAAATATGTCTAATTTTTTATAGAATTCTTTATTTTCAATAAACCCAAATTCTTTTCAAATCACCAGTCTATGTGGTCTTCTACCATCAATGTACAATACATGAAGACGTTTTTTTTTTTTTTCTTTTAACTAAAGAAGGAGTGCTTCAACAACTCAGAGATGACAAATGAATCTGTCTTCATTTTTTTATTGTTAATCTTTTTAAGCCCTTTCTGTCAGCGCACTATTTATTAAAGCTAAGTGGAGCTCAGTTATATAAATCCACGTTGTGCACAGAAATAGAAGTACAACACATGCAGACTGAAGCATGGTTAATCCAAGTATGAATGAACAAAGGCGTTATAAATGAACATCCATCTCACTGTATGTATTGCTGAGGCTGTATCTTCGGGAGTAATGGGTGAGTCAGTCAGCTCTTAACGTGTAATGCAATGCTGTTTATTTCCTGGCTATTGTTTTACTGTTTTACTGGTTATTCAGGTAACCAGGTGTGAGCAGTCTGTTTTACTTGTTTTGCTGTTATTAAGACTTAATTATGGTGAAATTGGTCAGCTCTTTCAGTGAATCATTATACAGGTAATTAAAACAAACCAGCAGTATATTGAATAATAATTTGAAAATAATAACTGGGCTTTAACTAAACTCTGACTCAGCCATTTGCAGTAGTTCTTCTCAACTGGTCTATCGTCAGGACGCAACAATAACTCCTTAGTGAGACATCATGACCCAAATTTCTGACTTTGTTCAACTAATGACATTTATTTACTGGAAACCCATCCCACCTATTGAGAAACACTGATTTACAGTATTGAAATGTAAGTAATATTGAACATCTAGTAGTATGTAGTATAAAATATGACTGCTGTGTCTTTATAATTAGATTTTTTTACTGATATTTTAAATATATTTGTTTTCTGAAGTAAAATTGTCGGTGCAGGACCTGCACTCGTAATAGAGTCAATTGTGGAGTTTCACTTCAGTTCTGATCATAACTTGGGCTTTGCCTCCCCCCTGTGGCAGGTGCGAGATCTGCGGCTTCACCTGCCGTCAGAAGGCCTCCTTAAACTGGCACATGAAGAAGCATGACGCAGAAGCCTCCTACCAGTTCTCTTGCTCTATTTGCAACAAAAAGTTTGAGAAAAAGGACTCGGTTATTGCCCACAAGGCCAAGAGCCACCCTGAGGTGCTCATCGCCGAAGCCTTAGCAGCCAATGGGGGCTCGGTGATAAGCAGCCCGACCATTGTCCCAGAGTCAGTCCCGACGCTCTCTCACCCTGACACTCCTTCTGCTAGCAAGAACGTGGACGGTGGTACGCATACTCCCTTGGAGCAGGTGGTGCTCCCACTTGCTCCACAGACTCAGGTGGATGTTCCTCAGGGTCAGTTCCTCCAACTGCCCACGCATCATGTGGTGCAAGTGGCACATCAGCAGCAACCGGCCACCTTACTGCACCTCACCACTGCTTCTCCCGCTCACCTCTCCAGCACCACCCACCCCCAGCTTATCCAGCTCTGCACCCTCCCTGTTGGTACCGTCACAGCCATGCCCACTTCAGACCAGCACAGCACTCTTGTCAGCCTGGGCTCCGTCGCCACGCTGGCCTCCACAGCGTCCTTGGCTCAGCAACAGGAGATGCAGTGGGGAAGGGAGAGCCAGGAGGACACACAGGTGCCTGGGGAGGGGGAGCTGTGGGACAGGGTGGTGGTGGGCGACGGGGAAATTACCTGGGAGGGTAATGGGGAGAGGACAAAAGATGGTGAAGGGGTTGTTTGGGAAAAAGAAGGGGAGAAGCAGATTATGTTACAGTTCGCTGAAGTTCATGGAGATGGTTTGATCTAACCGGACAGACAAAGAAGTGTTTGAGGAGAGAAGAAAGAAAGTTTTGATTTAAGAAATGAAGTGGAGACTGAACGATCTTGGAAGGTAATAATATGTGTGATATATATCAGATAAATTCATGTTATCCCAATGAACTGTTGCAGTCATTTAGAGTTCAATCTACAGCAAAAATACTTAACATCAGGGAATATACTATATAAACACGATATAGATTCCAAACACTTAGCTCAGTACTTAATGAATGTTTTCTAACTGGGGTCTGTTGTGTTTTTAAACTTGTGTATGTTGATTTTTTTTTAAGAATACACAGACAGTTGTACGGTGGTACATATACAAGAAAGTCAAAAAGATAACATTTATGTCTCCATATTGTCCCTGCCGTGTTTACAGTATGTCTGCAGGTTAAATGGATAAGTATCATTGGCTTTATTAACATGTCTAAAGGTTGAAGTTCCTGTACAATAACAATAAAAACATTTCTATGAGCAAGGAATACAACTAAATGAAGTTCAAAAAAGAAGTTGTAAAAGTCCAACATCAGGTATATTAATAATGTGTATATACCGGTATGTAAGTAATCACTTTAAACAAATCTACAGTATATTGCTTTGAGAAGAAGGCGTTTGGAAATCTAAATTGTATAAGTCTTTAAGAAATGCAGAATCCTTTCTTTAAAAAGTTGTAAGAAATAACTTTAACCTTTAAGAACCTGAGTAGTGTCATTTCATTCATGTTTGTACTTGATGCCTTCTGATTTGATCTTTTATCACTGAGTTGTTTTGCTTTCGTGTTTTTTTCCCACAGACTATGCAGGCCGTAGGTTTCCTTGGTAAATCTTTCTCTTCCAGCAATCGTCAATTATAACGTATACCTCTTTGCACTGCCACAACTACTGAGCAGCCATACTACTACGGTCTTAATTTATCAGAAACTGTGTCAAATAACCACAATAAAAGGAACATGTCTTGAAGCCTTTATCATTCTTGATGCATCTTTTTAATATAATCTTTCATTTCTAGTTCCTTAATGTTTTATGCAATCACACAAAGAATCTGAATCAGAAATACGTTATTAATCCCAGGGGGAATTTCAGTCCCATATTATGCAAAATACACTTTTTATAATCGGGGATTTCAAATATTTGAGAAATAGCTAATAAAGACTTACAACGTAGACACATACAGGCACTTATTATGGTCGTAACTTTCTCTTCATAACAGACAAAGAAGTACATGCAGTCTCTTCAGGTGCAAAATGTAATCTGTCTCTTGGAGTGGATCATCATTTTGAATTCTAGTATCAATAAATCACTTAAGAGGCTTTACAGTTTGTAAAGTAAACACCTCACTTGAAATCTATAATTCTATAATTAAACTGGAGAAAAAAAAAGTTAAATATCTCTTCATTGATGCAGCGTGTAAAGAAAGCATCTGAAATATTGTAGACATTCAAACCATAAAACATAAATCAGTTCCATCATTTGTAAATAATAAACATTTACATTACAAATAAAAAAAAAGTCTGACTAGCTTTCCATTCTCATTTTTTTCCAGGTTAACAAGGTTATAGTGTCTTTTTATTTGTAGATATTTTATTTTGTATTTAGTAATTTTTTATTTTTTTTTCTTATTCATTTTACCATTGTCCATAAACTTGCAATGCACTGTGGGAAAAATAATAATACCATTTTAAAGACCTTTCAAAACCAAATCTTTTTTAATCTTTAATATTTCATGGGTTCAGACTATTCATGTTTAATAATCATGTTCATTTCGTAATTAGTTTACAGTAATCTGGGAATAGCCGCTTAATAAACACTTCTTTATTATGAGTGGACGGATGGGTGGGCCACACTGTGACGTTTTAGGGGAGAAAAAAAGGCCCTCCTGTGCGTCCCCCCCCCCTCCCCACACTAAAAACGCCCCCTGGGCTTGCGGAACCAATTAAATCCCCTGCCGATGCGGTTTCTACCAACATGAAGGCCGACGTGAACATGTTTCATTGACGCCCGCTGTGAGGATCACCGGCGCCTGCTCAAACCGCGAAAGTATCCCGAAAGCCTCCGCGCGTAAATAACGTGTTTTCGGTAGCAACACTTACGGCGTTGTGGGGAGGGACGGCAGGGGTGGGGGGGGGGACTCCTTTCTGTGCTCGGTGTCCACCCAGCTTGCTGCTAACACACCTATATAAACAAGCCTGGAGTGCAAATGGCAGAGCAGGAGGAGCAGAAGCAGATAACCGAGCTGGACAAGCCGGTGCCTGGAGTGTCTGGGACGGGAAGCGCGGTGGCTCTTGCCCGGCAGCTGCACCACGAGTGTGATCGTCTGCTCCGGCTATACGTGAGTTATCGGTTTACACGGTTGTTCAGACTGCTCTCCTCGAGCTTGGCAGACCGGGGTATTTACAGTCTATGGGTGCGACACACTCCCACACTCCCCTTTCCCGTTACTTTTGGCTTGCTGCAATGCCAGCATGTCTCTTGTACTGAGGCAGCTCGCAACCTGTCGCGTTTGAATTACATGTTGACTTACTACACACAGGCTGACATTATCAGTTTGCACTCGTTGTTCCATAAGAGGATGCTGTGCTGCAGAGTAATCACACTAAAAAGACCCCCCTCCTCTTCCTCCCCCATTTTCCCTGGGGTGCCTAATGGATGGAGTGTATTGGATTTTTTGTTCTGCTGTCCTCGTCCTTCTGTCTTCCTTTGAGAAGCCCTTTTTAATAGATTAATAACATTAGTGTGGCTGTCACTTATTATTGCGTTTGTAATCGATCTTAATTGTAATAAAGGGCACACGTGCAAGGCCAGGAGCACCTTGAGGCTGTTAACTCTTTTCCCTCTCCCTTTTTTAGAAAGAGAAGGAGACCTTCTTGGGGGACCTCACCCCAGATGGCGTGCGCATCGTGTCCCTGTCCCCTGACTCGCAGGGGGCTAGCACCCAGCAGCAGGTGCAGTTGCTGCACTCAGCTCTGCGCCAGTGTTTGGGGCTGCTCCACTGTCTCATCCTGAAGGAAGAGGAGGAATGGGGTGAGCTGGAGGGGGACTACGAGACCTTGAAGAAAATAGTCCGGGCTCGGCTGGAGTACTTACTCTATACCACCAAAGGTTTGGCTGAGACTGAAGACACGACTCTGGAGGTCACCCCAGACCACCAGTGCAACGAGGTACAGTATTGTTATAATTGGCTTTCATTTCAACATGGTTCAGCGTCACATGCCAAGGCCACAATAAATTGTGTATATTTCATGAATCATGTGGTACGACCCTAGTGTCTTTTTATACACACATAAGTAACATGCCTTGAAAGCAGGATACTTGAAATAAGAGAAATAAACACACTTCATTCTGATAAAGAGCCCTTCCTTATATCCCCTCGGCTTTCTTCAAGTAGCTGAATATTTAATGTTTAATTGTTAAACAACCGATTACATTTTTTCCATTGTACATGTTTTCTTGATAAATTACTTTTAGTTCCCAGTGAAAATGGGCAGAGGAACAAAGAAAGGGGCTGCTATCTCATACAGGTGTCCATGAAATCCAGTTGTCTCCTGCTAGTGGCCAGATTGAAAAGACCACACCTAACTCTTAAAGCTTCATCAAAGGCGTGACTAAAAATGCATTATATGAATGATACCTTATCTAAACTAATGCTGGGGGGGGCGCTCAAAGCATGTACTTGATCACTTGGATATTCAAGTCAACCGTTCAAGATTGAGTTTCAAGAAGCCTTCTAGCGTGTCTTAGTATGTTGTTTTGGTTTTACGACCCGCAATTTCACTCTTGGTTTGTTCTCAAAGTGCCAGCAGCTATTTGTGTAACCCACTGTACACTGCCTGCTGAAATGCAAAACTAAAGATAACGTTTGGCTGGGTTAAAATATCGATTCTTTAGAAGCCAAAGAAAAATATATTTCCCCCCCCTGGGTGGTGGTGGAGACCATAAACAGAGCATAAAGGAAAACTAGTTTTGATGTACATATATTTGGTCAGCACAGACACAATTACAAATTGTTGATTGATGCTCGCCTGTTTCTGGTTGACATGCAAAAACAAGCTGCTTCCACAGGCCCTAAGTAGTATGTGTTTATTTACTTTAACCAAATTCCAACAAATATTTGCATAAAATGACAAATGTCCCTTTGATAACTTTTTTCTTCATTTAATTTTTAATGGCCTGCCTGACCTTTTTACTTATTTTCTTAGCCTATTCATATTAAGCTGAACAGTTGCTCGACAGTAAGCCTATCTGGGTGTGGATTTGTTCTCTTCTGTGTAGGAAACGGATGGCGCTGGGGGAGTTTTTGGGCTGAAAATGTGGACCTACCGTGTGTTGCTGGAGCTAATCCACTGGGCTGACCATGCTGCGCAGACCCTCCATATCTACCACACAGAGCGGGGAGGATCAGAGGAGATCTAAACGTCTTTATGTCAGTCTCAAAATACATCTATGAATGAACTCACTCAACACTAACAGCCAGCTTTCCCTTTTATGTATCCCAGAATTGAATATGAAGGAGTGCCCAGCATATTGTGTGTGCACTAGAGGGTCAAAAATGTACTGCTTAACTAAAATCACAACTAAGCCTCTCTTAACAAAAGCCCTGCAGACAGCTTTTCCCAGACGGTGGTATTTCCACAGCAAGTGCTAAAATGACCTCTAGTTTGCCACAGTTGAATTTTCCCCTGACTAAGAAGTGAGTGCAGACTTGAAACTACAAGTTTAGTTTGCTTTGTGAAGTGGCAGTCAGACTGTTTGAAATGTCTTTTTTTGTATTAACTGTGTATATTTATTTTATTTAAAAACCTTTGATTACTAATATCTGCTGTAACTAACACTCCAAGATCTACTAACTGCTAGAATGTAGCCAAAAAAACACACGACTGATAAACTGTGATTGATGTGCAGCTGAATCTGTAGCCATTAGCTATTTTAATAGGTCAATTAGTAATAAATATTACACCGTATTAACATGTATGTAATCCAAATAATTCCAAGTCATATTCTTTGTTTTTACTGAAAGACTGAAGGCTTGTATTGTTCATGGTTTGGCACAATCTGTGATGATCCAAACCTCATGTTTGCTGCTCTGTCTCCAAGTTCTCTCCTGATGTTATACTTGAATGTGCTGCTACACTGTTCACAAGTTTGAACTTTAACATGAGTGGTTTTCAAATCTTCTCTGTCCTCTCCTCTTTTGGAAGCTTTAGTTGACACAAGGATTGTTGTGTCTTTAGCTAAAAGTATCAAACACTCTGCACCTAAACAACTTTGTTGTAGTGTTAAATGCCTGATGACACATAGCGAATGAGCTGTGACTTGGTATAGTGAATTTCTTAATTTCATGGTTTTCTTTGATCTCTGTGATGAACAACTGGATGTGCATTTAAAGATTAAAACTCTAGAAAAGCTTTGTTTTCTCATTGTTTGACACTAAAGTATGTATAAAAATGCTATTATTAATTGTATTCCAACACATTATTTGAGAGCTACAGTCAAAACGGAGGATGGACATCACTGTTAATTGTCTGTAGTCTCCCTTTATTTTGGGGAGAGTTGATAAGCACATCATTCAAACATTGTAAATGTTGATTGGCTGTTCGGAGGTTTCATTTAACTCCAGTAGTATTTTCCTCTCATGCATGCGCAGAACATACGTGGTTGTTAGTCATCGGCTGTAGTCTTTGCGGTGTGTTCTAGTGCAACTTTTTGGTCAAGATAAGATAAGATGTACTTTATTCATCCCAGCAGGGAAATTTTGGTGTTCCAGCAGCCAGCATACATACAAACACACAACACAACACAAATATACATACATACATATCCCACCCATACAAAAAACATGAGCCCACAATACATAGCCAGGACAAAAAAGTGGTATGGATGGTCCATGTGCATAAGTAGCTGTTACTCATAGATAACAGTACAAAATACTAGCTCTGCCAGTGCATAGTATGATAGATAAACAAAGAAT